AAAAATTTTCAACGTGCATGCGTTGATTTTATTCCAATTTTGACGCTCTTTGATTTTTCTTTTCAAACTGCATTGCCATACAGTGGATAGCAGCGCTACTACATGTATATTAAAATGATACGTACTTAAAATGATAAATTTAATGCGATAAAATACAATACAAAGTGTCCAACAGCATACGTGTTGATTCGTTTGAGTCATGCAATACAGAAATCGGTATCCGGGTACTTTTAAGTTATAACTGTTCATTTTTAGATAAAGTAACAAACATGAAAGAAAATGTTCCACTCACCCTGAAGAAAAGATGGTAAAAACACGAAGTGTAAAAGTGCGAATAAATCAATATAAACCATTGAATTAAGTGATAAGCCAGAAAATGTCATCACAGTTGAAAAAAGATATACATGTATACGATTGAATTACACCAGTCTGTGAATTACACTGCTACATGTACAATTTTGAAATTGTGACCAAAATATTGAAAATGTAGAATACTTAAAGTTTAAAACGTGTACACATACAAGGAAATCATTAAGTTCAAGCACAATTGTTTAACAATGAACATTTTCATTTCTAGTATGTTCGACAGGGTTTGAATCATAATCTACATGTATACAGGTAGTCCAATCCTCTGGTTCTGAAAATTAGCAGATAATTATGAAAACTGTTCCCAAAAATGTCTCTGAATTCACAAAGTGATGTGTCATCTTTAAAGTTAAATTATATTTTAATTGTTATGCTACATGTATAATGCATGGTGTAAAAAGCGTGTTCTTTCATTGAAAGACATCAAAAACCACCTGTAATTCAATCTTATGCAAATAGGCGTTGGTATATAAGGTTAGGAAACTTGATTTCTATAAAAATGTATTTATTTTGGGAAAAATATCGTCTTTTTACAATACGCTTTTAAGACTTCAAAGAACCCCGATTTATATTGAGATGCATGAAATGAAACTTGCTGCACGAGAAAAATCAGTTTCAAGCTTCCTTTTCAGACTAATATTTGATTTTTAGAGTTATCCTTCCCGGCTAAAGAGCGTACATCATAAGTAAAGAAAATTTATATGTAAAGTAATAAATCTGACATGTTCAATACGTAGGCAAATACTCCAATATGGAACCCAAGATAATATTTTGAATTGTCATATCATGTTATATCATATTATATCTTAATGAAGTAAGAAAAACTATTAATCACATGTATATATAAATAGTTTTTATAATCCTGAAATAAACCATCAAATCACAGTTTTTTTTCCAGTTTTTACCAACAATTCAGACCTGACCTTGAGTCCTTAACTGTTTTCTGTCTCTTTTCAAAATTTTCAAAATGGCTGTATATAAAAATATCATTTTAGATTTAAAAATATATGCCATTACCAGAAAAAACAAAACCAAACTTGCCATATTTCAGTGAAAAAGTTATGGGCAAGAGAATACATCAATATCGATTGACTGACCTTAACATGATGATTAAATGTGTTTTGAGATATTTCAAATCTTCTTACACTTTCAAAAATTCATTTTTTTTTAAAAATAAGCAAAATTAAAAATACATGTACTTGATTATTTTTTAAATATAAATACGTGTTAAAAATCAGATTAGATTTTTAACATTTGTATCACAGTGATCAGAGTCATATCCATCATCTTAATTTGTTAAAATGAAATATACTTCATATTTTTCATTTAACCCAACTTTCTACAGTTTCAAGTTATATGGATTACCAGAAAAGAAAAATACCCACCCTTTTTTAAATAAATGGAGTTTGTACCTACATGTCAGAAGTGATTTCAATTTATCTTTCCCATCCCTATAGATGGCTAATGCAAAAGGTTATGTAACATGACATGGATATTAACTAGACTTTGTCACACAAAAGTAGGATAGAAATACGTTTTATTATATAAGATATGGGGCCTAGACTTTTTCCAATAATATTGTATAAGTCGTTCCCAACCTGGAGATAAGTATCACCCTGGAGATAAGTACCGTATAAGTAGAATTTTTAGCGGAATTAATGAATTAATCATTAGCGAGTGTTGAAAACCGCTAAGAATTCACCCAGTATCGGAATTAATAGTCCCTTCTCTTCACAAAATGAAGTCTCATAAAGGGGCATGGACATAGTTCACTTAAAAAATTTCAAACGTATTCTTTCATTTTTACAAATATTTAACTAAGGTCTTTCTAACGATCATTAAAACTTTAAACGATATGTTCCAAACTTTTGTTCTGTCATCAGAGCACATGGCATGTTTTTGTTTACATTAGGTTAATATACTAATATATGTCCGTTTGATAAAGAAGTAAATTCTTTATACATTTAGACAGTTTTTAGTGATTTTCTGAATTTCATATTGTTATTTATATGATATTATCTATATGTAAACAAAAACAAGACACGATCCTTGTTTACATTATGAAGAACTTTAAGTTCTGTATCTCGTTTGTTAATCAACAAATAATCTTCAAATTTTTGCTGATCATTAGATGAAGCCTTAGTTAGGAATTGTAAACATTAAAATTGGTTTAAAAAATTCAATTGAAACTGTGTCCATGTCCCTGTAATTCGCTAAAAATATACAAACGTGAACATATTAAGGCAAAATCGCCAGATATGCGTCTCACTAACATTTCCACTTGCTCTCTGAGATTACCTTTGAGGTTTCTATTCCACGCACGAGAATGGTGACTGTTTTGTATACAATGTACAATCCGAGCTTATTTTTTAGGCTTCAGGACAAATCCTTTTGGTTGTAGTTCGTAGATATTAATATACCGACCAATGTGGTCTGATTTTGCTTTGTGGTGGTCTTTATCTTTGGGGGGGGGGGGGGGGGGGGGAGGGTAAATGCTTATGAAATTAGCAATATTTTTTCTTAAGTAGTTTCTAGTATGTCCCAAAGACCATGAAATTTACAATTTTGGAAGAGGCACCCTTCCTCATTATAACTATGTATAATTGCTTTTTAATACCCAGGAGCAGAAGAGAAGATTTTAAAAGCATAATACATTTTCACTGTGTTTTAAACAGAGCCTCGCCTTAGCACAAATACCCATGACCCTGGTTCCATCAATTTCACAATTTTGTTAGAGGGCTTAGTGCTTATTACAATCATGCCAACAGTTTGACTGCTTGATGTCCAGGAGTAACGAAGAAAATAATGAAATATTACATTAATTATAGTGGTTTTGACCCCGTCCCTCAGGCTACAGAGGGTAGGGACCATTAAAACCACATTTTTGTTGACCTTTACCTATGGATGCTATATGCCAAAATTGGTGTCAATTAGTTGAGCGCTTTCAGAGAAGAAGCTGAACATGTTCATTTTATTTTGATATTTGGAATATTGGACAACCACCTGCGATTTTGGCAGCAATTTCCCCCAATATATACTGACATACGCCACATAAACAAGCATACTCGTACTTCTCTAAAACATCATTAGTTAAGGATTAAAATTTTATGAATATGTATATCTACAGTTCGTGTGTAGAGAACTTTTAGCTTACCTAAGCGTAGGCTCAGGCAAGCTAATTCGTCCGTTATCTTTGTCGTTGTTGTTGCCGCAAAGTACCAGGTATTTATTTTTTTATCGTCTCTACCCAAATTATTTGTCCAATTCCACAGGATTTAACATTAAACAGGATTAAATTTCTTTCAGATGAGATGTGAATCGACTGGTCACAAAAGAGGGAATATTCCGCTACAGTTAGAGCAAGGCGAGGATGGGTGTACGAAGAAAGGTAGTTAATGAAACTTCCTGCTTATAGATAGCAATTAAACGTCATTTCAGGGCAGAAAACTAGGAGTGCCTGTTACCAATCCATATTCAAATGCGTTCAAGAGCGTATGTTTATTACTTTTTCCTTAATAATATTTTTATTACCCCTTTCTTTAAGGCTACAGATTATCATAACGTTAAAAATACACTACAACGACGTCAACCTACCTATCAATTGCAAAATCGGTTAAAAAATCAGTTATATCAAATTGTAATTACATTTTTATACCTATAATTTCTTAGTTTTGTTTAATTTTAATAATTAAGCAAAAAAAGTTGCATTAAAACAGTAAGTACGCTTCATTTTAATATGATGCGCGAAATAATGCGCAATGGAAACTATAGTCGGCCCCCTAAAGATACTGATGTATCAATTTAAAAAAAGTAGAACGAATTTACAAAAAATAAAGCAACATAGAAGTAAAGACAAAATGAAGAATGATAAAAGTTCAAAATGAAATGTAAAAAAGACGAATATGAATACAATAAAGTGACATACTGTATGTACATACAGTTACAATTATTACTAGCGCTCTCGAGCGCTAGCAACTACTGTACGTTAGTCCATATTTCTGGAATACGCATGCTCGGCTTCACGGTCTGACATTCTGGGAAAACTTCACGGTCTAGCTGTGAAAACTACTATAGACAGACTGTACGATATCAATTTCGTTGTGTCATTATTTAACACTGGCCTTTTCTGTTGGGATCTGAAGTTTGTTTATTTATTGTGTAACTTACACTTTAAAGTTAACTGTACAACAAAACTTAGGTTATACGAATATATAATGCCAAGATTCTACACATCTAGCTTCCGATTTAGGCAACCTTCCTGGATGATACGTCAACCTCATAAAAAATCTTTTTTTTTTCAAAGTTTGTTGTCAAAACACGATAAGGGATTGATACATTTGCATTTCCACACTTATATATGATTTTAATTCTACAAAATACACTTCACTAAACTCTAACTATCAGACTCTAGCCTCGTTAATCATTAAAAAATTCAGCAAAATAAATCAGTTGATCACGAATCTTCCTTTCTTTATTTTATTCAAAAATTGCTAGTGTACGGCGCTAGCTGACCTATCTTTTTTAAAAGATAAACTTGTAACAAGACTTATTTTTGTTGTTTTTATTTACTTCCCGGACGACAATTGATGTGTAACAAGAACACATTGATGTACCATCAATTGTCGTCCGGGAAGTAAATAAAAACAACGAAAATAAGTCTTGGTAATCAAACTGTTCGATTTGCGTGATCAGACATGCGTCTGAATGATGACGACTATAGTCGAGAAGATTTACGGAAAACTTCTAGTCGGATGAAAATACAAAAACGGTAACGTTTTAAACTTAATTTCTCAAGCAATTGTTAGCTGTAAAAGATACGAAATAGAATCAGACACAGACATAACATATCATCAAAAATATATTTGGCTCAATAAATATAAAACACAAATTGTGAAAACGTTTTTCTGCGATAAGTAAAATTTAATGTTCTAAAAAGAGGATCTGTCGTTTTTTATGGTAAATGATAACCAATTTCATACATTAGTATTAAAACATATATATTGATAAAGATGTACTTCATGGAAGTAAATATATCGTGTATCTCGTAATTTACAAAGGGAAATGACATTCATATGTATATTCTATTAATATATAGTTAACATTTGATTCTGAATAACTTCTACCACATCAATCTCATACATTAAAACTTAAACTTATATGAATAGAGCAGCTCGGTCCTCTGGGCTGCAAAAAAGTAGGTAGAGTAAGAAGAAAAGCAAGATAAAAAGACGGTAATTTCTTTCCATATCTTCTAAGGAACCTTTGGTGAACATGAAACATATGAACAGTGTTCTCATTTTGCAAGAAAGGAGATGAGATCTTAAAGCAAATTTTCAGTTTATTTGTTTAAAGCAAAGCCAAAATAGTAGAGTATGATGCTCGAATTTACTTTAACTAGTGTAGAGAATCTTTTAAAATCTTTTTTCAAAGAGTTTGTTTTAGAGTATCGAATTCAAAATCTTCATTTTTGAATCAATGCTAAATTAAGAAAATGAAAATGTTCTTTGAAAGCTATTTAAAATTTTATCCTTTACTTTGCATTCAACCTAGATTGTCTTAAAGAAAATGATATCACTCGTTTTAATTAGTTATATCACCAATTCATAATAAATAGGTGATATCACCGATTCAAAAAATTGGTTTCACATATTCGATTAAATGATAGCATCTATTCAAAAAGATGATATCACTTATTCAGAAAATTGATAGAACTAAATGGAAATAAATCCAAAATCGCGCCTCATATTTGTGTTTCATTTAATGCACAGTCGCCCGCGTGGCGCAGTGGTTAGAGAGTCTGATCTAGAGTCGCAAAGTAAGGAATTGATCCTTACGTCGTGGGTTCGAATCCCATTGTGGGACGTGGAGACCGGTCCTGGTCCTTTGGATGAGACCGTATAAACCGAGGTCCCGTGTCGCAGTATGTGCTGGCAAGAGAAAGGCCCCTCCCTGCTCTATGGTTCTGAGTGCCGAGTATAGGACAAAATTGCAGCTCTCCATCGCGAAAAGTAGTGGCGTCTCCATATGAGTGAACAATCTCGAGAAGGACGTTAAACAATATACAATCAATCGATCAATCATTAAATGCACATAGTAAGTAGGAGACAAAAATAATATCAAGATTTGCTAAAAGATGGAGGATTTATTGGTGATATTTTCTCATACTGATACTTCTCTCATCTGTCTCAAGGTAGAGTAGGCAGGCGTGTCTACAATGTCTGAAATGAATGTAATAGGCAGTATTGCACTTTCTTAATTGATTTTTTCGTGCATTTTTTGTTAATTATTTGTAATATTTGTAGTATTCACTTACTGGCGTAGTCTGATTCTATTTCTCCAACTGTATCTATTTGCTGGTACTGTTGACTATCGGTATAATGGTAGGATGCTTTGGTGGCATTGTGGGATTTTGAATATTTTAACTTCTTTTCTCTTCTACAGAGAAGAACAAGATATACTATACAGGAGCACAAGTAAGTGTCAATCTGCTTAAAATTCAGTTGATTTGAAAGCATACCTCATGTAAAGTATCAGTCCAATGGAAAATAGTAGGAAGGAAATGCATATTCCTCCAAGTGACGTTCCGAGTGTTATGAAGACAGTTAAATGGTCGTTCAAATCTGCATAATATATGCATAAAATAAAAGTATTATTGATGAGAAGATGACTGAAGGTTTGCAATAATGTTTCATGCCAGGATAATAAGGAAGCTATTGAAGATCCACATTTTAAAATATTTTAACTTTTGTTCAGAGATGATT